TTATCCCTCAACAAATTGTGGACAGCCATTATTATTTCAAGTAGGGAGCGTTTCGGCCATTAATAACAATTTATACAGCACAATGCCGCAATTTTGTTTCACGATGCCCAACATTTGGGTAAGCGCGGATTTAAAGCTATAAGGGGTAATCGATATTTAATTAATAGGACGAGTATAAAATAAAAGCAATGGAAACCTCCAAATGCTATTTTTAGAGCTAGTAATTGAAACTATACGACTTGTAGATTACAATTAACCATGGATTTACTTATTCACGTAGCATTAATTATAGTAGATTTTACATAACTCTGCCTCTTATGTTAAACAAAAGAGCCCACAAATACTTTATCAACATTAACATTTCAAATTTCAAAGGTACAAAATTCATTACAGCGACAAGGTCAATATTTATATACCGCAGAATAAACTGGGAGTCAACCATTTTTTAAAGTAGTAAAAAACATAACAGTCTCTATATACGTCCCACTGCTGAGACAAGCCTCCGTGCAGAGTGTACCAAGTCACACATAGTACACTTTGTACGGAGTACACATTTCACATATCTTCTATTTTTTTGCAGGTTTCCTTAGGATGTTTTCCTTCGCCACGAAGCCCGTTATAAGTAAATAAGTAATCCATGCACACATAAAACTGTAACTGGTGCCGGGAACGGGATTTTGAACTCTGGTTGCTCGAGTATATTGAATTAAAAGCGTGCGCCCAGACAGTAGCCAATCTTCAACGACGATATTTTTATAGAGGCCGTGTCAGAAAAAACCTGGTAAATATCTCCGCACAACACTTGCGCTCCCTTACTCTCCCACGGAGAACTCGTTTAAAGTTGCGGTTCTCGAAGTTTCGAGGCGACGGTGGACAATTGTGGCTAATTCAGGGCTGTAATTAAATTCGTTTACCTCCATTATAGTCTGTCACCAAACATAAACTTTCAATGTGGGGCCCGCTGATAAATTCACACTTCGTAATATTTCTTGTATCTTGTATTAACTGATGTTTGTGCTTTCAGTCCGATACTATTTCCGTAATATTTTCAAAACGCTTTTCTCACATAAAAGGTGTTTCGTTTAGTAATTGTGGGAAAACTCTTACTGAAATTGCCTTGTTCGAGATAATATTGCAATGAAATGAGAACGAAGTAATGGGCAAGTTTAAAATCTCCATTAGCATGCTAAAACAAATGAAAAATTTCGTGCAATACACACGAAAGAGTTTTAGGTAAATGTAATTTAAACGAGTTCCACAAAAGCTACACTCAAATCCGATGCAGAACAAACGCGAAATATGTACGGGGTAATTATTATTTTTTTCAGAAAAGCGACGAAATTACCCTTGGAACTAAAGTGACCCGCCCGAGGAAAAACAACAATATCCCCGGCCCCTCACTACAAAGAGGCCAGCATTTATATTATCATTCCATTAAACAAAAGTCACCAAGGTTTCGAGTGAAAACACAAAACTCATTATTCCCGGGGCCTGAGAAAATGATTTCAAACGTTAACAAGATTCCCCGTAATAGAGTTGTTCACAGACAGATTTAAGAAAAACAAGTATGAGCGTTCGCCTGGTTTGCGATTCTTATGAACTCCGTTGCTCAATAATAATGTCTCCGTTTCGCATCGCCGCGGTAAGTACTCCGCGCGAAGTTATAATACGACCAACGGAATATTGTTTTATAATCTCGTTTGCGCACACATACAATGTATTATGCTATAATTTATTGTTTTAAATAAAACTATTATACGGATTTTAGCGTTGAAGACTTTACAGTATCCATGGTCATTGTCATTGCTTCGAAATTTTCATACGTATGAACCTTAAATTCAACAAATAATATGACAATGATAATTCTAACACTCCTATAACTAACGCTTTCATCACACTTCTATAATTGGTTTTAGGAATGGGATATGTGCCTTTCCATTTCAAATTAAATAAAAAGCCAAGAGTTGCGGTGTTAAATAATAACTTAATACGAGGCTGTTCATTATTCTCAAAAGTGAATCTCCCGCGTAATGGGAAACTAAACAAAACGTAAACGAGCGGCGTCGAAACGGTGCAATTTCGTCGAGGGCCTTGAGGTATTCCCATATTATTTATAATACGCGGGAGGTGGATCATTCTGCTCGTTTACTGAGGGATGTATTTGTGTATGCTCGTTTGTCAAATGCACAGTCATTTATTCAATGACGTGTATTTCGGATTCTATTCATGGCTGGGGGGGTGCGAGCGAATGTTTCCGGTAAACCTTTCCCTTACGCTGTGCGTATATGGAGGCTACGCTGTGATCATTTGGTACACGAGATGAGCTTAGAAGCGCACTGTACGTAGGTGAGGTTATTGACTTAATATTATAAAAGCCGTGATGTTTCTTTATTTTTCTACGTTTATTAGATTTTTTTTAATGTTTAATACATAATTAAATAACGGTCATACATGTAAAAGTACGATAAGACGTTTGGAGTATGGCTGAGCCACGAAGCAGCTAATGCCGTTGCACCAAAGTACAGATTCACCCTCGTTATTAAATAAATATGTTTAGTAATTTTTTTGCGAGCAGACGGTTCACCTGATGTTAAGTGAATACCGCCGCCCATGGACAACTGCTACACCGGAGGGTTCCAGATGCGTTGACAACCTTTTGAAAATTGGGCTCTGTGTACTGTGAGTCACCTTAATGTACGATAATCGTGTGTTGTAAAGACGTTTACAAACATAAATGTCACGTGGACAAACACCCAGATTCCAAACAATTATCTATGTATGGGTCATGCAAATTGATGTCATGTGTGGGAATCGAACCCTCGACTCCTGGCGTCATCAAAGTCAGAGTCATCAAAATAAAAAGGAAATGACTTATCTGGTTATGTACTAATAAACTGTTGAAACAAGCACTGATTTTTTACGTTATATCTAAGTCCGTTTCTTGGAATACACTTCAAAACTGTTGAGGAAAAATCCCTATCTGTTTTGCTCTGTGTCGACGAAGTCACTTTTCGAGCAGATTGGAGAGTCAAGAATAGACATATATAAGAAGAAGACGTGATCGGCGGACAGGTATATACATAAGAATATTATATTATTCTATACTATATATACGGCTTCGCACGCGTCCAATGTATTATACATATAAATCACTCTTGAATCACTATATAGTAAAAAAACCGCATCAAGATCCGTTGTGTAGTTTTAAAGATGAAAGACAGCGGGACGACTTTGTTTTATACTATGTAGTGATAAGAATAATAAGTACGTTGGTGCCGTACAACTATGTGGTGATAACATTCGTGAAGGCACACGTATATATGTGCAGTCCATTGGTTGGATTAACGCTCTCTTGCGTGGTCAGCACAAAGAGCTGCCATGATCCGGCCCAATTAAGCAGTAGCATTCAAAGCGGACGGGCAAAAGGCTTTGTATCATAATAAACCCGGCTTCCGGATAATGTAGCCCTAGTAATAGGTAGATGCAATGCCCGTATTGACGACTGCCCCTGTGTGCGCCACGCTCAATTTAGTGTTGCCAGATACTGATTTTCAAATTAACGCTTTGTCTTGCTCGAACACATCGCCCAAATATTATTTACATACGATGCCATAGAATCACGAAAATGCGGTAATATCAGAATGTGAATTTCCGCAATGGAATTCGCCGATTAGAGATGCAAACACAATATTTCGCGGAACCCAACCGGATTTCAAATTTGGTTTGTGATTATTGTGGTTTAATTAAATGTTTTTGACGATAGTTTACCGCAACGCTCAATTATTAAAGCATTGTTATTAAAGTAAGGCATTGTTATTATAATGAGCATATTATTTATTTATTCATTTATTAACTTTTTTCAATAAGCTTACCAAATAAACACATAAAAATTATTTACATAAGATACCCTAAAAATGAAACAGTAACCATACATAATTATATAGTACCTGGAGGACCTATAGGAGAGGGAGGAGGAGAGGTTTTTTCGGCGAAATTTACCGTCATATTCGAATGAGATTTTTCATTCCCTGAAAACAGGGATAAAAGGAGATTTTCTAAAAATGAAACCTAGCTAGATCGATTTTTCGCCCCCGAATCTACGCACATATTAAATTTCATGAAAATCGCTGGAGCCGTTTCCGAGAATCCGATTATACAGCGTGTCTTAAAGATTTCAATTTACATCAATTATCATTACTTATTTATTTACAGATTACATCAATATTTACAGAGTTATTAAATTTTTCAAAACAAAGAATTTTAGAACATCCTTACCTATAAAAGCGTAACGTAAAGTTCATTTGTAAAGGTCACAAAGCATATGAATGGGTTGAATAAATTTAAAAGAGACAAAACATACTGTTAGAAGGAGAGGCTTGTAATACGACGCCGTAGCGCGAGTTGTATAGGATGTTACAAATTTTGTTTATTTTTTACTTAATTAGTTTGTTTGAAAAATATTTTTTTAGTTATGGATTTTGTTTAGTTATGCAAGTAGCGTTAGACGTGTGTTCATTTATTGTCGCGATGGTAACGACACGCTGTATATATATATATATATATATATATATATACAAGAATTGCCCGTTTAATAATTATACTCGTTTAAAGGATAAGATATGTATTTAAATTAAAGGTAAACACGATACTTTTCTTAAAATTAGTTTTTAGATACAGAAACCTACTTACTAGTTGTTTAAAGCAAAATTTAAAAAAATATAGTAGAAATAGGAATTATTATTTGTATTTAATTAAGTTTCAACAATAAGAACTAACTGTCGCGTTCCGTGATCAGGCAATGTTACTTAAACAAACCTAAGATAAATTAGCGGGGATCATTCTACGTTCGTAGCTTTGTTCAAGCGTTTTCAGCAACTTCTCAGCCGGATCCATTATCGCGACTCAAGGTGACCTTTAAGCCATTCCATTTAGTGATAGCTCTCTGTCCCGCAGTGGCAAAGGAGCAGCTATAGTGCAATATGTGAAACACAATTTCGTTAATGGAGTGGAGCACAAAAGTGCTGGCAGTTGCACGGGTGTGTTCAATTAATTAATATCTTGTTTAGTGCGGGGCTTTATAATGCGCATTGTTGTCTGTTGCCAGATATGTTACGTAATGAAAACCTAAGTATAATATTGCACCCGTCGATTTTGAACCGTTTTATTACATCAATTTATATTTTAATGAGGCATGTGATTTGTAGGAGCAAATACGATTTATATTACTTTTGATGTTCTATATGTATTCCACCACTGTATCAATCAAATTAACCAAAAGCTCTAGTCCGATATTTACTAGGACACGCAAAGTAAAAAATAAAATATTAGGATTTCTCACGCTAAGGAGTTAACTAAATCAATTTATTAAGTAATTAAATATAGAGAATTCTTCATATATTATTTATATCGCTTATTTCTTTTTCCTCTTTCAGAAAAACGGGAAGAAGTAAATCGTTAAATTATAATAGGTGGCCGTTCAAAGGTTGGTTAGGCTGAGGCCTCCAAGTGTCTGTAGGCATAAAACCACCGCGTTATAAAACAAAGCCCAGCATATTTATTATTTGTGTTATTCTTTAAGGGCATCGTAAAGTTAATAAAGGGTTTTCGTAACAAGCCAGCGGCACGTTCAAGATAAACTCGCAATGGTCTCGGCGAGTCGAAATCTTTTAGGAGGTCGTTAAAAGCAACCCCAACGGCAGACAAAAGCCTAATCGCCTAATTGTTGACGAAAAGTATTCTCGATGCAAATTCGTACAGTTTACAGCCCGTTTGGAATTTGTTCACGGTGCCAAGGAAGTTTCCGTAATTAACACAGTTCCTTGAATCGTTCGAGTCATTTATGATATACGTAAATGATATATAGATTATACGAATTTCTGGTACCTATATTATTTATCTTATAAATTATGTATGTTAATAAAAATCTACGTTATTTGAATAACATTGTTCTCACATTTGTATATACGCCGTTAATCACATAAGTGATTACATGTTCTTGTAACTAACATTCACTGTTACTACTGGGTTATTAAAAATTATTATTGAAATTTGACATATTATTTTTTATTGGAGAAAGTGGCAAACGAACTAGCGGTTCACCTGATGTTACTCGGTTGCGGATGCGTTGCTACCTCTTAATAATGTAGGCCTTAATATTGATTAATAATAATAATTGGAAACTATAAAAGTAATTGTAATACTAAGAAATTCATTTTTTATTTCAAAGGATATATTGAACTATTAGAACTGATTATTATCACGATAAATAAATATCCAGATTGGGGGAGCAACGTAAACTGTAAACTTAATATCACTAAAAAGTCTTCTTAAACATTCATTTAATATGAAGTTTGGATCCCGACTATATAAGTTCGACTGTAAGTGAATATTTGAATACTTTAATGACTTGATAATGACATCATAAAAATAATTTAAAGTTAGTTGCAGTCATGATAAACAAAGGTGCAAATTAAGTCCTAATGGAATAAAATTATTGCCTACGAAAGACAAAAAAAAAACTAACTGAAATAATGAAAAGATTCTTCTCAGCGCTTTCTGGGTAGTATCTTAAAAGAAAGCTCCGAGGCACTCGCTAAAGTATTTTGGTTTTACGCAGTCCCTAACAGCGGGTTTAGCCGTGAATGGGGGTTTACTGAGATAACAGAGCTAAAAGCAGAAATAAAAAAGAGATTTGTCATGTCTTTTTTTTAATACGTGTTACTATTGCCTTTTATACAAGCCGTGCAATGTGCAATTTTCGTTTTAAAAAATCTTTAATGCATACACGAATACTGTTTTTTATTTTAAGCAACAATTCATATTTTATATGTTGGAATATTTTTAATTTTCATTCAGGATCTATTCATGTTAAGAATTAATGAGTCTTATTAAAGTTCTTGTTATAAATATGCAACTGTATTTTGCGCCCAAATGAGTGGAGTTTGCGAGTTTATTTATATTACATGTATATGTTTTGGTTTACGTGGCTAATTTATATTAAAATCTATTTTTATTTTTTACTTATTTATCTTTTTCTTTCTTTTTGAGCAAACAGAGTCTCGAGTGAAATAGTGTAAGGCTAGGAATAGGCCGAGGCAAAAATTAAGGATTAGATGGATGTAGAAAAAAGGAATTTTGCTTAGTAATTAAGCCTTTTTACAACCTGAAGTATATACAGATATTAGTATATACATATTATGCAATAGTGACCTATCTTATGCAAATAGGAAAGGTTTCCATAATCCCAAGAACGTCTCCGTTATTTAGTTCTTGTTATTAAGCACGGTAATCGAATGATAGGATTAAGGGTGGAATATATAGAAAATCTTATTTCAAGGGCGATTAAGAATCAATTAAATCATCTTTAAATCCTTGATCAAATTCCAGTGCAGAGTTTATCCGTCCATTTATCGGCCTAGCGCTGCTGTGAGGTAAGACGATCTTTAATTGGTGTGGGCAGACAGAGAGCTCATTGGGCACATTCCTCCCCAAACACAAAGGTTCTTAACATCCGCCTTGCAATCCGATCCACCGCCGCCCTCTCGGTGATTTTCTCGTTAACGGAATGAATTAAACATTTCATTCCTTACATTTCTTTTGCAAATGTTAATACTTGGTGGCCATCGTCAAAAGACCGCATTTTCTCGGAAAAATCATTTTATTTGTTTATTTATTTAAACTTTATGCACAGACTAGTACAGAGGCGGACTTAATGTCAATGGCATTTTCTACCTAATAATCTTAGGGTGGTGGGGTAACAAGAGCCTCAAACGGCTCGTGAGCAATGAAACGGAGCGATTTCATGAAACAGGCGCTCCAGAAATAAACCAAAACGTGGCACATTCCCGCCACAATAAAATGCAGACGGACGTAAAACGTAACCGAGGTGGGGGGTTCTTTAAAAAATCTGCGCCGGGCGACAACCGCGGAGCTCAGTGAAAATCTCGTGCGCGAGTGGAAATTCCAGTGTCGGAATTTTCATAGCTCGAATACGGTGTTGTCATGCCGGCGGGTCGCCCGCTCTCAAGGCGCTCAGCCGACCATGATCTACGGTCTCAGCAGTCGAAGCCGGGCATCCAAGCGTACATTATTACGTATCGGTGCCGTCGCGAGGAATACGTCGACGCCCCAACTACGGTCGAGCGGAGACACCACGGCGGGTGAAAATACCTCCAAGCATGCGATGCAATCCCACGATCTGTCAATAAACGTGACGAAGAGCACTTCAATATCTGCAATCGATATAAACTCGAGTGGGGTGCTCGCACAGGAAGCCCTGATTACGTCATCAATTTTATCGAATCAGGGTGTTCCCCGCGAAGCGGTAAAGTGGCAAGTGTGTGGCCCATACCCCGCGGAGATTACGTGAGTTTTTTCATATAAAGCCATTCAGCCAATTTCCTTACATCCTATACAGGAGCATAATAAGGGAGGCTTTTGTGAGGGAACGAGGTTCCTGCACCCACAATGCGTAGGCACCATGTGTAACCGCCGTTGAAAAGGGTAGAGGAGCAATATTCGACTTACGTTCGATTCGGATAGCTTTGCTTATTTAGAGGCTCGATCTGAACACATTTTTTCATGTTCGCAATACAAGGCTCGTAGGTTTTTTTTAAGGAAATGTGTTTGAATTTGATGTAAAACTAAATAAGACAAACTGATAGAATCGTTGTTACCGTATATTGATAAACGTGAGAATATAAGGCAAAACTAGTGTAAGTTAGCTCTAACACTGTCCTAATCAGCAAGTTGCTTATCGTTCCCGTACTCAAAAATAACATTTATAAAACTTTGTAATATGATGAAATAATATAATCTTTTTCAATAAAACGCGCCCGAGCGCAACAAGTTTAGGTAATTTAAAACATTCGCACTATGTTTAAATAATCAAAACAAACGCATAGTTCTATTTAAATTTGAACAACTGGAACAATAAACAAACTTACTTAATTTATATAAAACATAAGTTTATATTAAAACGTAGCAAATGAATGTATGAACATCTAACTGTTTTCAGACGAGTACAGGCCAAAGGAGCTCACAAATTTCAATTACCTTTGTGCTAATTTGCCCGCAAGCGAAGTGACAATGTTTCATTTTAATATATTCCAGCATAAACATCTTTAAAATGAGATGCGCGAAGTAAATAAAATAATATTTAACGACTCACAAAACGAACGCTCACACGAAGACGGTCGAATGCTTACCTGAAACAGAATATTTATTTACATGAATAAATGTAAGCACGTGAAACATTGCAACATGTTAAACAGACAAAGCAATAATATGTTGTTCTTAGATCGAAGCTATGAAATCTAGCTAGCTGACTTGATGACTTCGTATTGTTGAAAGGCGTTAAACACGTCTTTTTATATTTTTAACCTAACTGTTTGCTTCCGAAAATTTTCAAAACAGCAAATAATTTATGCGTGACTTGTGGTTGAAATTCGACCTAACGTATGTTAGTTACCTAATTAAGTTTGTAGTTTGTATGAGAAAAGTCATGTGTGTGAACTTTCTTTTATTTGCTATAACAATGGCTATAGTAAAATAATTTCACTTCTGCTTTTAATAAAGTTAGAGTTAATTACTACAATAAAGTTACATTATAGCCTTCACATTATTACATTATAGAGTTCACTTTTCAAGTTACTACGTGATATTTTCTTTCACCGTCGATTGCAAAATTGCAATTCACAATGTTGTTATAGCAGCCATTGTAATTAGAAGTCAGGTTGCTTGAGTGTACTATTAAAAGTGGGCACCCTGAAACATATACCACGGTTCAGCTCCGGTTATTAATAATACTTAAACTTTTTAACTATCTATTTAAGCTAAATAATAAACTATTTAATCAAGCGTAGATATATGTGTACATGTATTCCTAATGGGGAAGTGTGTTCGCCGCCACGAACAGCTGACGTTGACAGCGGCCACCGCGGTTTCAAGGATCTACCCACCGTCATATTGTCACCACCGCACTTTGTTTTACATGCGTAACGGACCGCAAAAATAATGGTGCCTCTCCAAGTGTGCATTAAACCCGTTTTTTCCACCCAAAACTAACTTGACTTGACCTCCTTAAAGTAGAATAAAATTGTACATGTATAGAACTAGAATATTTTGTCGTGTTAATACGTTATGAAACCATATATAAACAATTTCATTATAAATCTATTATGTATTTTAATTTATTTTCCATAAAATATATTGAGAGTTTCATAATCAAAAGGCGTAAAATTTGATGTGACAAATTAAATGAAATAAATCCGGATCATAGGAGCTTATTATGGTTTATTTCTAATTGAATTTTCATCCCCTCAAAATTTAGCGTTCACCAAAGCTGGTAACAGTTTCCTTTTTAAATTAACGTAATTCATTAAAGGGTCGCTATCATTGTCACGTGAAGGTATCTGCAGGAGGCTGTTGATTGGATCGCGTGATACAATGCAGGACCCGCTTTACTTATCCATCATTCATGTCTTCTTCTTCTTCGTCCGTCAAATGGGCGAAGGATGACTGTCATAAACGCAATAACCCACTGTCAGGTGAACATTAAACAAAGCGGTGTCTCATTTCCTTTCAACGTTCAGTGGCCTAGAAAATAACGGCTTCCATCAGATAAATGACCCGTTATGGACTTACAATTTATGGACTTAAAACTATCTTATCAAATTGTAGGATGGTGTGGGCATTCGACATTGTTTACATTTCGTTTTTTTATTCCATTAAATGACTCAAACGTCAAATATCTTTCATTACAATTGATAAAACTAAGTACATATAATAAAAGAAAAACATTATTTAAAATGACATATGTTTAACACGGGTTTTTAGGTTCGATTTGAATATTATAATGCACAGAACTTTCTGGCAATCTGCAACGACACGACTGTAATATTCGGAGATCTTATAAAAGACGCGAATTCGATACACATTTCTGAAAAAGAGCCCGGCCTTTAGGAAATTTATACGTGAAAAAAACACCTACTCTATCGCAGCGGGCCCCGGATACGGCCGTTTCTATTGCAATAAATCGTAATAGATGCCCGTTAACCTAACCGCTGTTGGACATTTTTACTGTCGACGGTTCCCGCGTACGATTCCTGCACTTTAGACGATCGCGATGCGGTCATAGACTGTGCGCCTCGTGCTGTTGTGAAGCGAAACTGACAACACAACTGTTATATGGAACCCACATTACGTAACTCACATTAATGACATAGAGAAAATTCAACACAAGTTTGTTAAGCACTTAAAATTTAAAGATAATAAATAGAAAGGCGCAAAACTATGAAGACTCGTGTGCCCATTACAAAATAATGAGCCTAAAGGATCGACGCATATTACTGGATATGACTTTTCTGCATGGTACATGTAATGGAAAAATGTATTGTGGACCTTTAGCTGATAAGATCCTCTGTTTTTGTACTCCAAAATACAGAACGAGACAGACACCTTTAATCGCTGTGTCTAAATCATCAACAAGACATGCACAAAATTCTATTGCAAACCGTTTAAAAAATACATATAATATAACAAAATAATTCGCTCAGTTGATATTTTCCATACTAAAAAGATAGCATTCAAAAGGGATATACTGCAAATTGACACAAGAAAAGTCGAAGTAATAATACACAACACATACACACACACACGCACGCACACACACACACACACACACACACACACACACACACACACACACACACACACACACACACACACACACACACACACACACACACACACGCACACACACACACACACACAGCGCGCGCGCGAACGCATGCACAACTAATTTTTTTATGTGAGGGTTCACCTGATGTTAAGTGATAATCGCTGGCCATTAACATTTGCAACACCCGTAGGGATGTAGATGCGTTATCACCTTTTAATTAAGTGGGCCTCCGCTCACTCAACAGACGAAACGAAGAAGTATAAAAAGACTTCCACTACATGCTAATTAATATGCCTTTTATATCTTGTAACGTTTATATATTGAACATAATGAACATGATGTATTTTATATATCATGTTCCTTGTGTTAATATATATAAAATACTTAACTGTTGAATAACAATTTACATTATTTGCACCCTCATCTAAATGCAGTAGACAGTATTAATTCATACAAGCAGATGGACTTACAAACATCTTTATATTTAATTTCCTTTTTTGGCCTAACAATATAATTAAGGTTTGACTTGAACAAAACAGTAGGGAATAAGGGAAAAAAGACGTTGAAAAAGTTTCATCGCGATCGCTTTACTTTTCTATCGAAAATGTTACGAGAGCGAAACAACTCTCCGCTAATGGCACATAAATGAAAATGTAATTGGGCAAAGTTTTTCGCCATTTATATGATTTACCATTATGAGAAAAATAGGATTTTGTAGATAGCCATTATTCGGAGTCTCACGAGAGAGACACCGCAAACTGATTGGATGGATGTCGAATAACTGTACTCTGTGGTATCGCTGCGGCGAGTTTGATCACGTTGTGAAAACTTGTCTGTCGCAGTTTTAAAAACTGCTCCCGAGCATTCAGCACGACGGTATTTGTAACGAGGAAAGAACTAACAAATAAATTAAATAAATATTTCAAGACACATCTTTACATAACGTTATCTAGTCCCAAACTAAGCAGCGCTTGTACTATGGGTACTAGATAACATACTTAAACATACTTTTCTTTTGTAAATTAATACATATTATACATATATAAACACCCAGACAATGGAAAAACACTATGTTCATCACACAACATTTTACCAGTAGTGGGGATCGAACCCACACCCTCTGGCGCAAGAGGCTACCCACTACGCCAATCGGGTCGACTAATAACTATTGACATTACAAGTAACTGAGTTTTTGTCTGAATTATAAAGGTTGCTAGGGCTTATAAGAACCGTTTAAGATAAAGAAGTTATACTAACGTTTACAATTTACACCGACAAAATTATAATGATGAAAGTTGATAGGCTCGGGTAGGACTGAAGCTATGAAACTTATCTTACCAGCAATTAAAGGCTGTCATAGCTTGAGAAACGCTCAAAAGTATTTCTTTAGTACTATAACACATATTTTATGTGTTAGCGTTAAGTGTTAAAGTCTGATATACTTGTTGTAATTAATTTTTTGTATCTTATAACAGAATCA